TCCTGAGCCCTAACGTCGAATGACCCCCTGGCTACTTTCTCATGAAACCAGACAGAGGGACACTGGAACTGACTTTAGAACTGTCCTCAAGATGAAGAAATGATTTATTACTTATTTCACCTTCGACCAATCAGTTCTCAGTGTGACCCCGAACCCCTTAACCCATGGTGTCTTGTGATTTTGCTCTATATCATCGTTAATCTATATGCCATTGGGGAGTTTAGGCTTTTGATCATTAGTTTCTCATTCTCCTGGGCGGCGCCATTCATAATAAAGTAGCCAATCTTTCTCCACTGCAGTTCTCTGTATTTAATATTTGGCTCTGCTAGTTCCAGGTGGATAAACTCTCTGTTCAGTAACACTACTGCAATGAGATTTTCTTTTTTTTTTTCTTTTTTTTTTTTAGCGTTAACAAATAACGACAAAGGCCCTTTATGGTCTTGGGCCACTTATGACAAACTTCCCTGAGATCTGGCACAGCAGGACAAAGAGACACTTTGAAACCTAATCTATTCAACTGCTCACCAAGTGCATCCTGTAAGTGCACCTACCAGATGGTGGAGACCAGAGAAAATATTTTCACTGGTCACAAAGCCAAGCTCTTAGGACATAAAATAAGATGGAAGGAAAACCTCATTCAGTTTTTATAGAGGGACCTACAGCAAAGTTTGAACAGATGCTGGTCTGGAGAGAACCACTTCGTTCCCCAGCCTATGTGGCTGGCTCAGATAATTGGCTTACAGGGAGTCTATGCCTGTATCCTATCCCGATGGTATTTCCTTCTTATGACAAATGATACAAAAGACATAGACACAGGGGGAGGAGGTAAGACCGTTTTGGGGAGAAAAAAAATCAATAAAGAAAACTCAAGGGTCCTGAGCCCAAGAAGCTAGCTTGCAAATATCTTCTCCTGCCAATCTAAATTTAGAAGAGAGAAAAAGGACTCTCATCATTTCTGACTTCTACAGTCATTTCTCTTCCACAGAAAGAGACCAGAGAGGTTGTCAGGCAAATGAAAACAATACTCTCAGCGGCAAGTAGTTCCAAAAGCCAGCAGTGTTCCAGCCAGTGATGCTCCTGGCCGGCTTGACAAATTGTTGGGAGCCAGGGAAACTTGCCCCTTTGTTTCTTCTGGCTAGTCGAATAATTCATATAACATACAACAGGTTAACAGGAGAAAATCAAATTTTTAATATGTGTGAATGGGGTGGGGGTGGGGTTTACATAAGCATGAAAGTTCCAAAGACAGCTAGGCGACATTGGGTATATATGACAGTTTGGACAACCATTGGGAATATGGGACAGTTTGAACAATGGAAAAAAGAGGGAACAGGGTCTTAGAAGTGACAATGGGGGATTTACAGCTACTTGAAGAAGAGCTGAACACACACGACAGGTAAATTTTTGCTGGGCAATTCAAAAACAATGAGACACAGAGAGTCATCTAGTAAATATGCTTAACTAATGCTGGGATGAAAATGCTTCAGGTGGTCACGCCAAGGTTCCCTTTCTGAAGCTGGTTTTTCTGACTCTCTTTAAGAAAAAGGGGAAGTAAAAAACTCTTCTTGAATTTGTTGAGCTTCAACTGATTTCAGTTCAAAATAATCTGAATGCCAGGGTGGCACATTCCGGGGACACTCACTCCCGACCCCCACACTATGCGCACACATCTGCTCCGAAATAGAACCTAATTTCGGATATTGCTAAGGGCGGTCCCACCTTTGCAAGCATGCAGACAGGAAAAACAGCTGAGCACAATAAAAGCACAGCCTCTTAAAACAAATTTCCAGGAAGAAAAAGGACACTTGCTATGTGAAAAGAACATAAACATTTCTCCCATATGGCTGAGAACAAACCTAGCAGGGCAGGGCAGCGAGCTTCCACATCAATGAAGGATTTATCAGGTACGCATTTTCCTGGGGAAAAGAATGAGTTCAAAAGAAGAGCAGGGATCTGATAGGGCTATAAATACTCGGGCCATCGCTCTTGAATTTTGCAGGGTGATTAAATCCACAACCTTGAGCATCAAGAAAACTCATACTGTAAAAGCAAGCAAAGAATTGTCTAAGTTCCTTCCTTTCCAACTCTCTGCCACCTTGCTGCTCTATTGTGGTTGCTTCAAAGGAGACAGAATAGTAACATGTTAACCTAGTTGGGCAAGCTGTGAAACTTTCTGCTTTGGCACTCTGTGAGATATTGTATCTGCCTTATCTCATTTAAACCTCAAACGAGTACTACTACTTCCCATTGTACAGACGTGGAAACTGAGGCATAGGTTGACACACAGTCACACTGCTAGAGCTTCCTTCTAAAGCCAGGCCACTAGCCACTCTGCATGCATTAAAGTAAGTGCAATTCTGAGTCAGCTGTAAAAGCAGGGTCACCGAAGAGTATGGAAAAATAAAGAAAACGCCATTGAAAGTGGGGTCCTCTGAAGAGGGAGCTCTCAAGCATGTAGCTTCTATTGCAGCTCAATTTACAAACTGGGACAAGAAGTTTACTTCACATACCCTGGCAAGAGGTAGGAAGATTTTTCTCCTATCCCAGCAACAGCCCAGCCAATGGGAAACCATCACACTCAGCCAATGAGAAGCCACCGCCACCCTGAACTCTTGCTCTCCTCCAATGGACTTTGCTCATACCCACCCTTCCCTTCTTCCCCATTTTTTCTGTTAAATAATGCTTCCCTCCTTTGTTCTGTGGACTTGCCTGTGGTTCGTCTCAGTATGCCTGAATTGCATTCATGAATTGCTACTCCCAAATACATTTTTTTTGTTGTTGTTGTTGGTAAAATAACCAGCTATTTTATTTTCAAGGCTGACAAGTACAGTGCAGGGTGGGAGGCAAGTCTTTTAAACTCTGTAAGGTAAAGCGATCCCACTGTCTGAGCAAAAGGTCTGTCTGCAAAGAAGAAAATCACTCTAAATGTGTGTCTTGTAACTTCTATTTACCTATAGAAACAATGGGCTTGCTTTAAGTGAAACACACCTGGTCGTGACTTTCCTTGGGAACTTTTGTGAAACCCAGTTAATCCACTTCTGCTGATAAAAAAATTTCAAGGCCATTCAACTCACCCTGGGCAAGGGGGCCAAACTCTTTCTTTCCCAAAGCCAAAAACATCAGACTCTGCCCCTCCCTACAAACTGCAGTCCAAAGGGAGACTTTACATAGAATTCTACTTTCCCCAAGGAAGAGACACAAACCAGGGTGAGGAGAGTAATGTCCAGCTCGGATGGAAAGGGAGGCAGAACCACGAAGCGGCCCATGTGTCCTGTGGGTAAATTCTTTCGGATTAACAATGTAAAGGGAGCATATACTCTTAGAAATTTTAGAAACAACAGGGAAATATAAAAATGAAAAAAGTCATACAGTAAGTCCTCACTTAACGTAGTAGATAGGTTCTGTGACTTGAAGCAAAACCCACTTCACTGTAAGCTAATTGAGATAAACAAGAGTTAAAGTTCCTACAGCATCTCATGGATGTTGTAACGAAACAATGTTATTGGAGGACCTGCCGTATGTAACCCACCTCCCCCTGGAGACAGCTGCTATTACCATTTTGGGATATATTTAACCAATTTTGCAGCCATTTTATAGACACTGTTATGATCATCAGTGGCTACTATTTATTAAGTCCTTCTTTTGTGATAGATGCTGTTCTAAGTGCTTTACACTTATTAGTTCATTTGTAGTAGGTGCTACTATTCTCACTTTATAGCATGCAGAACCGAGGCCTAGGGAGGGGTAGGGTTTGCTCAAGTCCCTGCAGCTGGTGTGCAGCGGGGCCCAGGTGAGAACTCAGGAATTCTGACTCCAAGCCCACAGGTTTATACTGCTGACATGGAATCCCCCTCCCCATTTCCTTTACCACCCGCCCCCCAGTTTTATTGAGATATATAGTTTGTTACCGGTGCTTAGATGTCTGTGTTGTATACAGTCCAGGGCTCCGTCCTTGGATCCCCCATGAAAGATTTGGATGGAGGTCCGATGCTCAGAGAAGAGAAACAGCAGGCAAAGAGTAGCAAGTAGAAGTGATTTATTAGGCAGAGTACACTTGGGAGAAATCCAAGTGGGCACATCAACAGAGGAATGAGGGAGGGCCCTGGGAAGTTGAGGATCGGGGTTTATATGGGCCATCCGGTTTCTTTATTCTCCTTCTGTCCCTCCCATCTTGAATGATATGACTTCCCCATGCCTTTCTCTGAACCTCGTACTCCTGGCCTGGGCATGTGTGGTGTGTGCCCGTAGATGGGAAGTCCTACGCCTCTGCCGTGGGGATTTTGAGGGTAGGCATATGCTCAGTTAACTACTTTTGCCCATACTGGTTGAGTACCCCCAGAGTAAGTACATATAGTTGTTATCTGTAGTTAACTAACTATGGGGGGAACAAGGGAGGTGTCAGAAGTGCCAGGTGTCTTGCTTCCTATCTGGCTTCTGACCATGGGAAAACAAGGGAGTCATCTGAAGCCATCAGGTGTCCTGTTATATACATTTTACTGCTAGACTTGTCTTGGGGCCTCGTTAACCCCTTAATGTCATTTTCCTCCAGCTCATGTCTACCTACTCTACCGAATTAACATATTGTATTAGTTTAACGTGTACAACATAAGGATTTGATATTTGTATACATTACAAAATAATCACCACGATGTCTACTTAACATCCATCACTTCGCATAGTTACCAATTTTTTCTTGCGACGAGAACTTTTAAAATATGCCCTCTTATCTACGGCCATGCTGCCCTGAACGCGCCCAATCCCATCTGATCTCAGAAGTTAAGCAAGGTTGGGCCTGGTTAGTGCTTGGATGGGAGACCACTTGGTAATACCGGGTGCTGTAGGAAAATAAAACGAAACGAAATGAAATGAAATAAAACATACTCTTTTAACAACTTTCAAATACACACTGCAGTATTGTTAACAGTTATTCCCAGGACTTATGAATTTTGTAACTGGGAGTTTGTACCTTTTGACTGACTTCACCATTTTCTCTCTCTCAGTTTTCTACAGCCCACATTTTGTCATCAGGATCTGAAAATCACTGAAGGTTTGGAGATTACAGATGAGAGTTCAGAAAGTGGACAGAAAAAGCTTGAAGGGCAGCTATTATATTGGCCTGATGTCCAACCTGTCTTCCGGCAGCTGGAGAGCCAAAGATGGCCTTACAGCCTCTGAGACGCCAAACAGGAAAAAAGGCTTACTAAAAGGGGTTATAACCTACAACTCCTACAAGAGATGCAGCTCTGCCAGGCTGAAGCTCCATGTGCATTTTCCTCCAGGGCGGTTCATCTTATACGAGGCCAATCCTCCCTGTTCCAAGAGGGTACATTCTCCCCCAGAAGAGGCAGTGGCCTCGAAGCCAAGTTACGCCTTCACCTGAGCAAGATGAACTGCCTTTTCTTCCAAAATGGTAGTTTCCCATATCTCAAAAAATGGACATGGAGTCCCAGCTCCACCACAGCGCCCCAAGAATCCTCCAAACGGGAACTTAGAATATTATACCCTATTATTTTGTTCATGATATATCATGAACATGTTTTTCCAGAAAAGATTCTTTCGCACTTTGATTTTTAATGATTATACTGTATTCTACCATGTGGATATAACAACTTTCACCAAAGCCAATCTGTTGGACATTTGGTTTATTTCCAACATTGGCTATTATAAGCTATAATAAATAACCATGTAGCCAAAACCACAGCATATTCCTTATTTTCTTAGAGAAATTCCTAGAAGTGGAATTACTGGCCAGATAGGACAGACAGTTTTTAGGCTCTTGACAGAAACTCCCAAACTCCCCACTACAGAACTGTTTGCGATATTCTCTGCACCAGCCCTGGTGAGAATAAATGGCACAACTTTTAATGAATTACTAGCTAGCTCTTGAAAGACCACTGTTGAGTGAGCGGTTGATTTGAACGTTTAAGAACAAAAAGCTCCTTAATGATTCTACCAGTAGATGGCACTCTTTGCTAAGATAAGTCAGATTTCAGGTAAAGCATTTCAGGGACTATTCAATTTGCATCAGGGAAACCAGATATATACAAACAAAACAAATGTGCAAGAGGAAATCTAGGACTTTATATGAATACTAACCGACATTAGTGGCACAACAGTGGGATCTCGGGATCCCGCGGGATCTTGAAAACACTCCTGGGATGTTGCTGCCCTTCCAGCCATTAAGGTCTCCTACAGCTTCTCAAGAACCCTGCGTGGGAGACACCTACATTCCATGTGCGCGTGCATTCTTTCCTCCTCCCTTGTTAATTCTCACTCCTGGAAAGCAGGATTGGACCGGCCTGGTTCCTTCTGACCAGCTCTCTGGGTCCTTGGCTGATCGTGGCTGTAATTTTACACTTCCATGTGCGATATTGATCATCTCTCCCTGTTGCTGGAGGTGCCGTTCCCTGTCAGGTGCCTGGAGCCCAGGGTCGTGGCCAGCGCAAGGAACACATCCTGTAGGTGTTGGCTGCATGAATCCAGGCCAAAGTGTTTGGGACCTCACCTTAGAGCTTTGCCAAATGATCCCCTTCCTTGCAAAACTGAAATCTGTCCTGAGATTGTCAAGTCTTAACTGCTATAAATGACAGAAACTTAACACTCTAGAGGTGAATAAACCACAGGAAGAAGGATGGGAGAATGACTAAAAGTACACATAGGTTCAGGGGTCGTCATTCAGGATGTGGTTTCAGTTCACTTACTGGTGAAAGTTACATCACTCTGCTTAGCCTCAGTTTCCTTATCTGCAAAACGGCTCTAATAATTGTTGTGGCGCGATCAATTCTAAGACCCACGGAGCCAATTGAGATGAATTGTGAGCCTTTATTAGCCAGCCGGCGACTGACTCTCTACCACGCAGGGTCAGAGGAGATCAGCCCCGAGCTTCCAGAGGAGGCAGCTTATAAAGCTTAAGACCATATCTTGGTGGTCTTCTGAACAAGCAAGCAGGCAGATTACAGAAATCAAATGTTGGCTGTAAACGTCTTACACAAAGACAAATGTTTCTGGGGAACTCTTAGATCAAACAGGGCCTAGCAGGCAATTTTGTTATCTGCATCCTGGTGGCTGTCAGTGCTTACCTGGGAGCTGGTGCCGGAAGATATCACTTCCCTGTGACTGATTTATTGGGAAGTTTTTCACTCCTACAATAATAGCACCTGCTCTCTTAAATAAGAATTTGCACTCCAAGGGCTCGGCATAGTCCCTCATACCCAATAAGAGCTCTGTAAGTTTGCTTGGTCATTGCAGTCCAGTCTCCTGCAAAGTAGCACCCTCCAAAAGGACACTGGGAAGAACAACAATGGAGTGATTTGCTATTACCCCAAACCACTAATTAAGACATTTTGCAAGTTAGTATTTCTGTTGTGTGACCTGGCTGCCAATTATTTCAATCCGTTCTAACATTGCAGAAGAAAGCCTGGCATGCTAGTGGGTGGGGGTGAGGGGTTCTATGGCCGGGCAGGGAGCGGGGTGGTGGTGGTGGTGCGGAGTGCAGAAGGTCCAGAATGACATGCCTTGGCTATACTCCCCAAGGCAAGACTCTTTTACGTTTTTTCCATGTTCACATATCAGTTTAATCAGCAAGTATTTTGGATTCTTTCTTGTTTCCAGGCCTGGGGTAACTGGTCATCCTGCACTCCCTCTCTTATTTCTGACCACTATCTCTAGCTACCTGGCCACCCTTCTTACCTCAGGCACCTTTCATGTTCTTCAAGAATAAGAGGTTAAAGCCCCTTCACCTGCAGCTGCCTTTGAATTCCCAAGCTAGATTTGAAGGCTGGGATTCTCAGGGTGCTCTTTCAGGAAATCCCCCGTTTTGTCAATTTAACTTAGCTTATGCAAATTCCTGGTTTCTCAAAGCCTGTTTCACTGCTTCCTTGAATGTAGCTCTAGCAAGTTTTCCCTTGGGATAAAACAGGAATTTCTGAGCCCAGGAATGAGCTCAGAATGTGGCTAAGGCGCTTCCCCTTCTCTGAGCTCGGGCTCACTAAGCCCTTTGATTCAGTACCCCGGGCCCCAGCTGGATCACCCAAGAGGGGCCGTTTTGATCCTCTTCATACCTCCCAGCTCCCCGGATGAGCAGACTGTGGGGACCCTACCACCTCAGCCCATCTGGGACTGAAGCCCGCGTCCACTGGGTCTTAGGCCCACCAGGTGGCAGACAGGCCTTCTCTGAGGCCGCCCCAAAGTCACCCTTTCCAGCGCTGTAGCTCCCGGCCGGCCCCGCTACAAAGCCTACTCTCAGCCAGGGTTGCGTTCGGGCCCACACGGGCGGCGGGGTCCCCGATTATGCGTTCAGGGCCACCGCGGACGTAGGGCTGGGGAGACAAGAGAGCTGGTGAGGAAGGCGCGGGGCCATCGCTCCACCCTCTCAGTACCACGCGGGCCCGGGAGGTCCTACAGGGTGGGTAAGAAGAGGTCAGGAACCTGCACGTGCGCCGAGGCCCTGGGCTAGGGGGCGGGGCCTGGTGGGCAGGGCCTGGTG